GCTTTTCGGTTTGCCTAGGAGAGCTGCGGCGTTACTTGCGCACCGGAGCGCTGATGAGAGCGCCGGACTAGAGCGGCGCTTTGCTGGCTTATTCCGAGTCGTACGCCTAAACAGTAAATACCATTGCAGTATGTTTAGGGCCATACCGAGCCTGAGCTAAGTTTAAGTCTTTTACAAACCCATTGCTAATGCCCTTTGTGCTGTAATAATGGTGCAAGTTAGAGCGTTTAAGAAGGAAGGTTTTTCTTCGGCGCATCTTGCCTTACGATTTGCCTAGGAAAGGAACGAGAAGAATTTTTGTTTTATAGCTAACGCATCAATGAACGATGCCCGAGGGACAGGGGAAGCCAATCTCATCTGAAGCCACTAGGCATTAAAGTAAGTCAACAGATTACGTGTTTCAGCTTCTGATTTTAGAGCTGGCAATAAGCTTATGCCTTGGATTAACGTATACAGTAGCTTTGGTGAAGGTATTTAGCGTTATTCCTCCAAGGGGGAAGCTCTGTTTACACAACAGGTACAAATACAGCTTTTCCTTTTCATATTTAGCTATGAGCATGAATATAGAACTACTCAGCTCTGAAACAAGCTACTGTTTTTGAGAGTCATGAAAACACTAGCTCACAGAGAAAAGGAAGTCACAGAATCCAGCTCTGATATGATGCCCTGACCTGGAGCCAGTGGATGAACCAGGAAACCTGCTGTCACCACTGATCAGTGAAAGGCTCAATCCAGAAGACTCAGAGGCCCTTACACCCAGCACTCACATCACCTTTACAGTCAGGAATAGGTAGTTACCTGAGTGCCAGGGCCATTTTGCTGCTCTAGCCTGTTTTGGATAGAAGAGTCACTCGTCTTATTTCTTTACTTTCAAGGCTTCTCTAATAGTCAGGCCAACACCTGCTAGATATCCTCAAACTTAAGTTTTGGAGCCCTTATCAGCCCTCATAATCTTGAGGCAAATCAAGTTCTTGGAAGGCATCACCCACCAGACCTGACAAGGTAAAAAGCACCTTTCCTCAGAGCAAAGCTCACACCTACAACCTCCCCCAGGGCCCTGAGCACAGGTTTTTATCTCCTCCTGGTCAGGCTGTTTAGGACTTGCAGGTGTGAAGGAATCCTTACCAGTTAACCCTCTCTTCTTCTGTATTCTCCTACATTCAGTTTTATTTTAATTCTGTGGTATAGCCTTGCCTATAAGACAAGGAGAGAGGCAGACGGGAAAGTAAATAGTTCTCTGAGCACTGGAATCAAAGCAGCATGTTTTCCACTGGATTTGCATCCTGTATTTGATTGTGAGCCACAGTGGGAGTTATTTCTATGAAGTGGAGTATTTATAAAGAATCCTTATCAAGTGTTTCCCTACTGTCAAAAACTAATGTGTATTTATCTGCAGCCTTTCCTGCGGTGGAGGGAGTACTCGTTTGGGCCTCTCTCACCTTCAGATTTGTGTGAATTTATTCCATCTGCAGCTTCTACCCTTCTGTGAGGGCTGGTGAGATTGCCCGTCGTGTTCAAAAGTTACTAGATGCCGGGAGGACGACGCATACATATGTGGTTACATAAGCTAGTGTCTGTGAGGGGAGGAAATAGGATATTTTGTAGGATGGTCTCCCTCCCCACCATTGCCTGTGCAAGACAAGGTTGCCAATTGGAAGCAATATGGAGATTAGAGTAACTCTAAGGATTTTTCCATAGATGCTGCAGCATAAATATCTGGTAGAGCTAGACATTTTTGTTTTGCGGAGGCTTAACTTTCCTTCAGTTACGTGCCTCTCTTCCCATGGGTCTCTGCAGAAACTTCCAACCAGTGTGGCTACTGCCGGGCAGCCCTCAGGATGACACTGGTGCAAGGCTTGCCCTAGCTCTAACGCAGAGACAGCTTGCTTTCCACGGACACAGTCCTCCAGCAGCATTAGCGCAATCTTGCATTGCAGCCATCATAGCTAATACAGACTTAGCTATTGACTTAAGAGCAACAGGAAAAACATGTCCTTTTGAAATCTGTCCAGATCTGTAAGGAGGGAGGAGGTGCTACCTTGAGCTTCACAAGCTGTGCTGAAGTACCTTTTTTCTGAGCAGGCAGCGATAAAGGCATCTCCTGGGTCAAATCACTGACCCAGGAGCTGGGCATTTCAGCAATAAAATATCACTGAACATCAGCAAGACAGCATACAGGTGAGGTCCAAGATGTATGCAGAGCTGACTGTATAGGTAAATGGTTTCTGATGAACTTTGTCCATATACAACAAACTATAGAGCGGAAGGATTTATTGCATATCTATCCTTCTGCTATAAGGCCAGTGATTGCTATCCGTACCAGCACTGCAGTGGTGGATTTTCGTACAGTGATTTGATTTGCCCTGCTTGAACAAAATCTTGCTTAGGTGATTGTATGGCTTTTGATGAATTACCAGGAAGATCTCTACAGGGATACATGTCAAGTTACAAGTGTTGCAAGAGGATTTGATGTCTTAACATTTCTAATTTAGCCAGGTGTATGATTTCTACAAAGAAACAGGATTATGTTTTTAAAGCCCAGTATGCTGGGCATAACTTTGTGATAGAGTAAATAGAGAAAATAACTGTCTTATTGTCTGAAATAGCAAATATTTTGGCATGGTTTCTGGGTAGTGGAAAGGATTCAGCTGGGAATTTGAACCTGGCAGTGCAACTGAAATCATGACACAATAAGAGTTTGTGGGTCTTACGGAGATCAGCAGAGCAGAGGCACTGAGTTTCAATAAAGCAGATGTCAGGAGTCTCAGCGGACTGCGGAAGAGGATCACGTGGGACAAGTTTCAGGTTGAGGGAACTGTCATTTTCTTGAAGAAATATTAATGGGATAAATACAATGTGATGGGGAAAAGGTAATGAAGAAGATAATCAGTTTGGTTAAACTGTGAACTAAAACGTAAGAAGGAAGTGGAAACTAGATTGGCTACTAAGGAAGAATGAATACAAAAGAGTAGCATGAGCCAAATCTGGCAGGCCAAGGCAAAAAATGCGATCTCGTTAGAAATGGATGTGACAAGATAACATTCAGTGTAAGAACATTAGCTGCAAGAGGAAAACCAAGAAAGAATCATTCCACTGTTTTACAGAGAGGGAAAACTAACAGTAGACGAAGGTGAGGAGGCCAGAATACTTAATGACCTCTTGCTCCGGTCTTCACTGAAAAGATTAATCATGCAGAGAACAAAGTACATGGCAGATACTAAGGGAAGTGAACATGAGAGGTGGAGTTTCGTGAGCAACTGTGTTAATCCTCCTTACTAAATTACTGCCTTACCGCCCCTTTGCTGAGATGCAGTAACTGACTCCACGCAGGCTAGTCTGCCGCAGTTCAAGTTAAATGAGTTTGCTTAAGCCACTTCTCACAGTGGTCACATTGTTGGGAAACAAAGGCCTCCACACATGGCGTGTTTAATAGGGAGTGGAAGGTGTTTGCAGTAATCTTGCATGCAACTCTGTACTGGCAAACATGCAATGTCATCTCGGGTCTGGATACCGTGCTTCAAGAATCATATTCTCAAAAGGAAGGTTACGGAATCACAGAATGGCCGAGGTTGGAAGGGACCTCTGGAGATCGTCTAGTCCAAACCCCCAAAAAGAAGTTGACAGATTGGGACAAACCCAGAAGAAAGCAAGAATGATGAGAGATCCAGAAAATACGGTGTAGGGGTTGCGTAGTCAGGAAATAAGAGGATTGGGTGGAGATGTGATCACAGGCTTCAGTGACATTAGAGAATACTGTGAAGAGGAATGGAATAAAATTTTCTTCATGCCTACAGGGGCTTAAGCGATAGGAAGGGAGAAGTAAGTTATGCATTAGGAAACATTTCAACTCTAAGGGGGCTGTTAAGTGATCAATCGCCTAGTGAAGCCGTGCGGTCAACTAGATACACACATTGTGTGGACCAGTGATCAAATGATGTGAGGGAGCAAATCAGGACACTGAGGATCAGTTTGGCAATTCCTTCTATTTTTCAAAGCTGTGACAAATTACATGAGCAAGATTCATGTAGAATAAAGTGTTTCTGTGCCTTACCTCCATTGATCTAACTCATGCAAGAAGTGGACAGATGTATTTACAAATGTGTCAGCAACAAAGATCTACAATAGACCTACAATGGCTGGCTGAGATTTGCGAAAGTTAACCTTTTCTCAGCCTTTTCCCATTTCAGATTTTCAGCTAAGTCTGATCCCTTGGCCTCGTTTCTGTTAGAATCACCTTAAGTAAGTTTAATTATTTCTTATCTTTTCCACACAGGCCCAGCTTACCGTTCACTGTGTCCTCAGAGTAACCATACTGGTTTCTAAACTGCCTTTCCTACTTAGCTATTTCCTGTCTCCGTTGAGTTTGGCTCTACTTTACCTCTGTCAGGCTGCTCATGCTAAAGGTTGCTCATTCTTAATGTTCGTTTCAACCACTACTATACCATCACTGGAAGTTTTAAAGAGCAAATTAGACAAGCATCTATCAGAAAGGGCTTAGCTACACTTGACCCTGTTTCAAGGCAAGGCTATAGAGGAAATGATCTCGTGAGGTTGCTGTCTACCCAGTTTTCTGTATTTTTCTGACTCTTTATTAATTAAGCCATATTTTATTACGCCTAGCAACTTTACAAGAAGCACTAAGTGCTTTTACTAGTTGTACAGGAGAGAATGAGGCTTCTCCTAAAGGCGATCTCACTGCCGTGCATGCTTGCGCAAAACAAACTGGGAACATTTTTTTTGAACTAATTAAAAGCCTCTGTAGTTTGCTGGGAAGTGTTCTGTGGTCTGCAAAGACTCCAAGCTGAAATCCCTAGTTTGAACAAAAGACTAATCCTTTGCTTCAGCGAACCATCTGGCCCAGAAAAATGTTGTTTATTATGAGATTTCATGGGTGGGTATTTTGGTTTGTTTTGTTCTTCTTAGTTTTCAATGGTTTTAACAACAGCATCAGGACAGTATTGATGGATGGGCACGTACTGTATATACGGAAAAAAAGCCTACCAAGAATCTTTCAGTGGAGTGAAATTTTTCCAACACAAGTTTAAATGTAGATATTTCATAGTTACACAAGATATTAAAAACAGAAAGTCAAGTTTTGCCCTCATTTATCCCCTTTGCAATGCTGTAGATGTGAGTGAATTGCAGATATTTATGAGCAGCATTTAGCTAAAAGATGACTTATTGAGAGTTATATTGTGACAGCAGTAAAGAACGGCAGCATTTTTGTCTGAGATTTGTTATTGAAGTTAGTGGATC